AAATACAAATTTATAATAAAAAAATAAAAGAAAAACATATTATATACAAAATAAGCTCTAACACACATACACACACATACACACACACACACACACATCCGCATGCTGAGTTAAAATCTATAGAAAAATTATAGTTTAAACTCAAATTTTATTCTATATAATTTATTTTGATTTGTTGCACAAAAGGCGAATTGTTCATAATATTAGTAAATTATTGTTTTAATATTGAAAAGAGAAAAAATGAAGTCAAAAAAAAAAAAAAACAAAAAATTTTAAAATAATCACAAATATTTTAATTAATTAAATTGCAATTTCGTGTTTTGTTTAGCCTATGTTAACTATGTTATACACACACACACACATATATATATACATTCATTTCAAACTGTTATACTCTGTTATAAATGCGCCGCATAACCAAATGGCATTTTTTCTAACAACTGCCACCAACAAAAACGAGAGAAAAAAAAAAATAATAACAAAAACTCAAAGAAAACACAAGAAATTGTAAATTAAAAAATAGTATGAAAAAAATTCAATATTTGAAAGCTTACAGCGCTTGCGTGTGTGTGTGTGTTCTTGTGCGTCTGTCACACACACACACATATGCACGCAGGCGCAGCAGGAATTTGTTTGTTTTGAGAGAGAGATAGAGAGAGAGAGGCAAGCCACGCCCCCGCGCCGCAGAGCGCGTGCGAGAGCGAGTAAACCCGCCGGCGGGTTAGACTAGAGAGAGCGAGAGCGAGAGAGCGAAAGAAGTGCGTAAGCATTGAGCGCATGTGAGCCAAACAAAAAGCTAAATGCTATGAAAACGCTGATGGCAGACAATGCGAGCAGAGCCACGGCGTGTGCGAGCGAGACAGCGCATATAATTTAAACTAACTAAAACTAAAAAAATTATTATCAATGTAAAATCGTATGTACTATATAAAGAGTAAAAAACTAACAAAAACAAAAACAAACCGAAAAAAAAACGTAATAAATACATTTACATAGATGTTGCAAAAAACAAAAATGAAAAGTAAAAAGAAACAAAAAATTGTATCAATTAGATTTTATTTAGTTTATATTTTCGGAAATGCCTTTACACAAAATTCTCACCCAATAATTTTATGTGAACAAAAAATATTTATATACGGGGATAGAGGAACAGAGTGCGTGAGAGAGAGAGAGAGAGAGAGAGAGGGAGAGACGAAATCCAAGCAGCCCACTGCTCTAATGTTGCTGGACGCCATCATTTGGTTACCCACACTATTCACCTACATATTGTTCCTGCTCATACTGATCATACTGTTCTTCATTGTCGCCTATGTCAGCCATAAGATCTACATATCCATCTATGATAATCTGCCACTGCCAGCGGCGCCCGGGTCCCGCTACTCGCTGTCCATATCGCCGCATCGTGTGCAATCGACACGCTCCGAGGCGGTGAGCGCACGCTCCATTTGGATACAGAATCGATCACAGATCTACGAGTCGTCAGTGGGTAAGTTGGCAAGATATACAAATACATATATATGTGCATATATATAGAGTGGGGAGAGGTGGCCTGCCAGCAGTTCGCATTGTACTCACGTTGGAGGCCTGCTATCTGGTCAGCGTCGAGCTGGACATCTATAAGAATCCCGCCCAGCGTGCCATTAGCTTCATGTGCAACTGCAAGCCGAACGTCAATAAGTGTGCCGCCGTCGCTCCCAGAGCGGGGGACAGTGTGCGCGTGCTCAAGTACTACGATCACCTGTCCCGGGTGCCACGCCTTAAGGTTCTGCTGCGCTGCAACGAGCGCAAGAATATGCGCCTGGTGCTCGACGACGTCATCAAGGATGTGATGGAGACGAATTCCACGGATCATGCTGCGGCCTGCCCAGCGCCCTGCACAGGGTCCAGCAGGCAGAGGCGAACCGACGACACAACTAACTGAACAAGCAATGCCAACTATGCGTGCGAGCGAGAGAGCTACAGCAAAGCTCGTTCCAGGGCTCTCTCTACGTGTGTGTGTGTGCGTGTGTGCGTGACGGAAGCCACTGGGCGAGAGCTGGGGCGGTTGGGCTTGCATTTTAAATTAGCGCTTTATATTTTAATATTTGTTTGATAGAACTTGTTTTGCTCTTTATTATTTCGTATTGTATCTCATGCATGGTGGGCGTGGCCGGGTGGCCATGCCTACAGTTGAACGGAAAT